GACTCTTCTATTTCTCTTTACGTCAAACTGAGCTGAAAAACATATTTATATCCAGTCCACCAGAGTTACTGAAAAATAATTAAGATTGTTCCAAACAGAAAATATATCAGATTAAACTTCCTTTGGGAAAATGCCTCACTGCCTGCTCTGAGTAAACACATCACCATTATTAACTCGTGGATCTTGTTTCTCTGTTCTCTCTGTGTACTGAAGAACAGAGAGCCAGGTGCAGCTCCCCACCTTATTGTTTCCTTCCCCTTTTATATTCTCATCATGGATGTATTAAGGCTGTGGCTGAAATAGGTCCACAGTACAGAGTGTTATGCTGTGCTGGCCCTTCTGAATTACAGACAGATTGCTGTCCTGGAGGGATTTCTAAACTTTCATTGCAGCATTTCTAGATTTCAGCTTTGGCCACTGGATAAGGAAATATGTCTTGTGCAATGAAGCTGAAGAGAAATTAAATTTTTCTGAAATTAGGCTTATCCTATTTCTGTGGTAGTACATCTATGCAGAAAGAATTCAGGGTATCTTCAAATCTTCGCTGCAGTGTGGCTTGGATGCCAATGCTTGCAATGAAAATCTGTCACATTAAGGGATGCTCACCTCCTGCTTGCATGATTTTCAGTAGTTTTGTGATGAATTATCTTGCAGAGTGGTGTAGGATTTTAATAAAGTAATCTGTACATTAGCAGGCGTGTGTCATGCCACGGCTAAACCATCCTGGATAGAACAGGAGCCACAAGTCCCGGTGCATTAAAATTCAGTAAATTTCAAAATGATGTAAACATAATATATTGAATTAGCTCAGGTAGCTAGTTTATTAGGCAGGGTTATTTTCTTCTCAGTGTTGACATCGAACCTGAGTACAACTAACTCCACACCTTAGAAAATATGCTGTAACCTTGTAAAGAATCTTGTAAAGTGTATCACAAGTGTACAAGTAAGGATTTTTATTTTTGGACTGGGGAGAGGCAATCAGGTTTGGCAGGCTTGGAGTCAAAGCTGGAGTATGCAGAGTCTCTCAAACGTGAGCGTCCAAAGGCTTTTGTAGAATGTTAGGAGAGCTGTGCTGTGTTTCATTTCTCTTTGAGCATGCATCAAGATTAGATGTCAATGAATGTTGCTGGCTTTATAAGATTACTGGATTAGTAGTGATTTAGCTTGTTTTACCATACATCTTATTTCCTGATCAATGTGACTTTAGTTTTAAACAATTTTGGCATTCACTGCTGTTTCAGAATTTATACAACTATGAATTTCAGTAGTGATTTTCAGCATTTTCCCCGTGGTTTCTGGAACAACATCCAGAAATGCCTGCTCTGCAACAACATTTTTGGTTTGAAATTGGTAATAATACCTTTTTCTAGGCCAGAAAATTACCATCTCACATTTGAATTGAAAGCTGCCACGTACTTTTAGTGGAGAAGGAGCAACCATTTAATTTATCCTCTGTATGGGAGAACTAAAAGCAAGCTATGGGACTCTTTAAGGCAAAATATATTTTCACTAGTGAAGACCTATAATTTGTCTTATGTGATTTTCCTCACTTGTGTACTTTGTTTATGTCTGTTAGCATAAGAGTGCTAAATGACTCAAGCTGTCTGGCCTGTCCCCTTGCTCAGTGTCTAGGAAGATGGGCCAGTGATGCATAAAACCAACTGGTAACCTGGGAAAGGTGGCTCTTTTTCCAGCAAGGAAATTGTGAGGGCTATACAGAAAGTGATGAAAGTGTTCTTTACAGCCATTACCTATGCAAAACACCCTAAGTGTATGTGTCTTCAGAATAAGGCTGATTGTTCTGGACTCCTACTACCAGGAAACAGTCAATTTCCTACCTGTGGATTTTCTGTTCTTTCCAGCGTTAAGAATTCTCTTACATGGATCTGCTTGACTTTGTGTGTGCAAGCCCATTTATAGCAGGAGAGGGAAAGCTAATCCCAACTGAAATTCAGTCACCTTTGCCTTCTGGAATATATAGAATTTCCCTTGAAGTTTTTACAGAGTCTGCAGTTGCGCAAAACAGACCTACTGGCTCCTTTGATATTTTTAAGCCTCTGCTTCATCAATTGTGCAGGCTTTTGGTTTATTTCCAAGTTCAGTCCAACATTCTGGTTTTGATCTAGAGACCCTGATGGTATTTTTGATCTTTTATCTTGCTTTAACTTTGTTTCCTTGTGTTTTTCTAGTGGTGAAGTTGGAGAGAAATAGGAGAGAAATTACTATTTCAGGGTAAAGATCGCAGTGAGGACACAGGGGGATTTTTAGATTCTGGGGCACTTGCATGGTCTGACAGATCTGGAGCTTTGTCTCAGGAAATGCTACTGTATCTTTTCTGTCCAAAGCCAAATGCTGAAGTTGTGGCTATTTTAAACACATGGATGATAAAAGTTGTTGGAGGAAAGGTTTCTGTTTTATGGAATAGGAGGAAGAATAGAGGAGTAGATGGGCTTTGTGTGGATTCTCAGAAGAGCAAATCTTTTAGTTCACGAGCAGCAGGAAAAGTGGAAATCACATTAGCCAGGGTGGTTCAGTCAGTTGCTAGTTAAATGATAAAAGTTTCACAGATAAATTTGTATTTTGTATAAATGGTGTGAGAAGAATAAAAAAGGTGCCTCCATTTGTTCAAGGAGTTATTTCCAGATTGATTTTATAGTTTATGTGTATAGTTATTTATCTGGGAGGGAGTAATTTATATCTGGGGGGAGCTTGTACTGAAAGCTAATTTCTAGGGTGGGTGCTAGTACTGTTAATTCATTTTTCTGAGGTAGTTTTTAAGTGTTACAGTTTATTCTGTGTATAAACACAGTCAAGGTAAATCTGTATCTTTAAATAGAAGCAGATTCTGACTACTACATGAAAGTCATGCTTTGCCTTCTATAGTCTAAAGGTTTTATTTGGCTTTCCATGGGAATGAAAGAACAATGTATATGTTCCTTGTCCTAAATTTCAGTGTACTGAGTGGCCCTTTGTTTCTATGAAAGAGGAGATTGTATGTGGTGGTCTTACCTAACCCAGCTTCTGATACCCATTTTTTAATTGAGTTCCCAGCTAAATATATGCTTTCAAGGGTAATTAAGGTCTGTAAAGATGAGAGGAAGGCTGCACGATTACAGTTCCATGATTACAAAGTCATATAGTGCTGTTGAAGATGAACATATGAACAACCTTCTTTCAGAGGTAGTATTTTCTTCATATTTTTTTTTTACTTATAAAAATAGAAAATGAAAAAGAATGAATTCATACGCTTTCTTCTCTGAGTTCCTATACATGCACATAGAAACACAGAACCTGCACTTGGCAATTCCTTTGATTTTGCTCTCTCTTCACTTCTGTGTTTGCTTCTCCTTCTCATTCCTGCCCCTCAGAACTTGAAAATGTTTATATCAAGTATTATTCCCAGGTAGGAGTTTCAAGGGTATGATACTGCTATTGTTAGTGCCATGCTAGAAAAGAAATACCGAGCTGGGAAAGAAGCACAGTAAGGACTTGATTGAACTCCCATAGGTCTTGCATTGAAGATTCTCATTATCTTGTACAGACTTTTGTTCATCTTGTGCTGTGTTGTAGCCTTAGTGACTGCAGGGTAGAAATTCAGCTGCTTCGCTTTAGTGTGTGGCGTGTAGATTATTGAATCAAAAATGTGACAGTTATGCATTTGCTATTCAGGAAAAGAAAAAAAAGAAGAAAGGAAAACCTTCATCAATTTAAAGTTTTTATGAGTGAAATAATGAGATATCATGAAAACAAGAACAAGAGCTCTTGTTTCCAATCAGATAAAATGGGGTAAAATCACCTAAATATGTTTTATGCTAAAGGATGAAACAGTCTTGAAACCACGATTTCTCTACGTGTGCGTTAGCATGCATGAAGTAGTAATTCCATTGATATAGATTCTTTATTGAGATATACAGGCACTCAGGTAAAATCTTTTTCAGTAATTCAGAGAATTTATGTGTATCTTCTGTGAAGTTCTGCCACGCTCGTTGTATGAAAGCACTGACTGAAGCCGCAGCGCGGAGAGATGACACTGTTGATAAGTAGTGCCACAGCTGGGGGAAGGAGCAGGTCTTTATGAGGACACTTCTACGTGAATACGACTGGGAGGGGGGAAAAAAAAAAAAAAAGAAAGAAAAAAGAAAAAAAGTTAAAAAAGAAGAAAGCCCAGTGAAGTAATTAGCGATGGCCGCGTGCGTGTTAATTGGCCGAGCCCGCCTAAGGGCCCGCGCAAGGCGGGGGAGCGGCGCCCCCTGCCGGCCCCGCCCGGCCCCGCCGCGGGGAGGGGGCACGGGGAGCTGCCTTTTGGTGCCGGGCCTGCCCGGGGCTTCGCGGTGGGAACCTGACACCCCTAAAAGCTGGTTCGACGGTCTCTGAGATAACTGGGAGTCTTTCCGGCAACTTTGAGTGTGCTTTGGGTCCAGCCCGCAAATTCTTGAGACTTCTAGGAATTTGAGGCTTATGTCTAAGTACAGAAAGCTACTTTTTTTTTTCTCAGGAATATTAAACTTTTTATCTTCTGTCCGTTGCCATGCATAGGCAAAAAATGCATATAAGTGGTATCTAAATGTGCATATACATAAATATATATAGTATATGTACATAATGTATATATAACATATATAAAGGATATATATAAATGTATACAAAGCATATATAAGAAAAATAGTCTCACTTTGTGTTATAAATACTAGATTGGCAAAACTGCAGTAAAATATTCTTTATCTGCTTGGCCAGATTTTATACAAGTAGGTGTAGTTCTATTTTTTCACCACTGATACATGGTATTTGTCCCAGAAATCCATCAATAAAACCACCTCTTCTGTTTTCATTTTTTTCTTCTTCTGCACTGTCATGCTCCAGTCACAGATTTGAAACTGCAGTACTTCATCCCTTAGATGGGTGCAGTAGTCCTCATTAATATACAAGTATAATTTATTTTTCTGTAGTTTATTTAAAAATGAATATGTTTTTAATATTTTTTCCTTTCTTTCAAAATTTAGGTGGAGAACAGGCCAAAGTATTATGGAAGAGAGTAAGTATTTTCCTCTTTTATATATTTGTTGGGTGTGTCCAAAAGTTACTGTTCTAGAACTAAAAGACACAGTGGAGGTCTAATAAAATATTTTATTGTACCTTTGACTTCAACTAGGAGCCAAATATATTGAAACTCTAATGATTTAGCTATATTACAGTCCAGTACTGCTGCTCACAATCCATGGATTGTGCTGCTGTGTGAGCCTGCATGTTTATTTTGCTTTTCTCATGAGAGTTTGGGAAAAGAAATATTATCTGAGGTCCTTCATCTTTTTTTTTTTTTTTTTTGGTTGTTGCTTATACGTCCCAGTGGTCCTGCAATGGCTTAGGGAGGAGAGAAGCAACTTTTCTCTCTCACTGCCTTTTTGTGTATGTTCCTATGCTTTCACCATCCTACATGGCTGTGGAAGTGTGTGTGTATCCTACTGCTGTGTAAATGCTGTTCTCCCTGCTGAAGTTACAAGCTTCAAAATACCCAAAGAAGAGGTGTATTTTTATTGTAAGGAGTATAACAAACCACTGGAGTATAATTCCTTTGTGCTCAGCAGTCTTCTTGCCCATAAATAGCTTGGAAGGTGCTGGGTCATGCGCTGCATGGAGATTTGGGCAGGTGAAGTTGAAGGACAGAGCCACTGCAGCAGCCACCCAAGACCTGGCATTTGGCCTTTACTAGAGTAATCTGCCGAGACTCCAGCCCTTATCTCTTACTTAGATCCCATGTTGTATTTTTCCTTCCATCCCAGACCATCTGTGTTTAATGATCCTTTTCCACCGTCAGAAACCTCAAGAGCCTGTAGCTTTGCTCCTAGTTACTGAAGTTTCATTTTTAAAATATTATCTTTGACAACGAGGCATTCAAACGTAGCCACTAGAGTACAACAGAGCTGAAGACAGTACCTAGTTGAGTAACACATCACACTTCCTACAGCAGGACTTGTAAAACCATTGTCACAGTCTCTTATCCAGGGACCTCCTTGAGTTTGTGGAGCAGCAAAGCTAGCAGAAACTGTTAGATGTCACCTTGGTGAACCTGCCCAGGCAAGATCACATTAGTTGTTGTCATTCAGAAAGAAGATTTCAGAAGCACTGGGGAAGTCCTATAAAAACAATTGACTCGGTGTTCAGCGGTACTAGGAAAGAGAAACAGGAATTTTTAGGTAAAGAAACTGAAAAAACCCCCCATATTACTATATAAATATGTGATGTGGCTGCATTTGAAATAGGGCACATGGTTCTGGTGCCTCGCTACCCCTTCCTCCTCCATCCTTTTTGCAAAAGTTGTAGAAGAAATGAAAGGTATGGTGAAGGGCAACAATGGTGAAGTAAAGGAATGCAACTAGGGATGCTGCTCTTACCACAGGATAAAAAATGAACAGATCTTCCTCGGTGGGTGTCCAAGAGAGGGACATGCACAGTGTCCTTCTCCAGTTCATTGCCATGGGCAGCTGCAGAGACCAAAAGCACCAAGATCTTACAGGGCTTACAAGTGAGATTCTCAAATTCATGAAGGGTAAGGTCACAACTGATCAGACACAATTGTGGCTAAACCAGTGATGGATGGACAGGGATGTGAAGTGATAGAAATATGTCACTGCTTCCTATAGTCCTTCTGTAAGCATTTCTTGTCAGCTGCTGTCAGAAGCAGGCATCTGAGTTCAGGGGAACTTGTACACCGTACAAGCTGTTTTCATGCTCTTAAAAAAATGTACAAAAAATATCCATAAGAAAGCTTGGATTATCCAGTGCTTACCACCCAAGGATAAAGAAATTTCACTGGTGCTCCAAGTATCCTGTCCCAGTGATTTGTTAAATCGATCACAGGGAGAACTTTTGTCCTAATATCTAACCTACAGCCTGGTATGATTTATATTACATTTCTTTTGGGGAATAGCTTATGCTTATTATTTGTAACTAGAATTATGAATTGCCTTGAGTTTACTCATAAAGTCATGTTTAAATTATGTCATTTAGGGAATGCTCATTTCAATTTGGATGGAGCAGTAAGCGAGTGTGTTCCCCATCTGTACAGACAGAGAAGATAACCACTCTGGAAAGGTCACCAAAACCTAATATTTTCAACATATATTAGTTATGAAAAGACCACATAAAGAGAATGGAACAACAATTGCATTTACATCCAACGTGTTTTTCTTCTCTTTCACTTGCTCCCCAGAGGCAGTGTTAGGGATGTGCCACTTCATATGTATTGTCAAAAAAGAGAAAATGCTGAAGGCCAGTACCTTTTAGTGCTTTTTTTCAAACAGCAGCAAAAATAGAAACTTTCAAGACTGCTGAAGAGACCCTCAGAGACTTATCAGCTAGCAAAATGTGCGTAGGAGTTAAAACTCAAACTGCTGTCAAGACTGCGTTTATACTGCTGGAGAGATCACTGCTAAATATTGATTATCATAAGGTTAATTGTGCATCCTAGGCTCTCTTTCTTTCTTAAAATAGCAATGACAAAAGAATCAAAGAAGTATTGCTTTTCTCCAACACTGAATGAGGAACTCATTGGAATGAAGAAAACAGTATTTTTTTCAGTACTATTCTGTACCTTCCTCCACTTTAATATATTCAGAATAGAATTTTGAATAATTGTTTCCATTTTTGTCTCTGTTTCTCATATAAATTTGAGTAAGCGTAGTTAATATTAAAAAAAGCAAACTGATAATAAGAAAGACCTATAATTTTAATTATATTTAAATATTTATGTATATATATATAAATAACTACATAGTTACATATAATAATTCAGTGTTTTAAAAATTGCCTTTGTGCTTAGTTTTCGATTCTGTTGTAAGACCTCTAGAAAAGAATCAAGGAATAGGGGTGTAGACTGGTAGAAGAGAAAAGTTGTGAAAAGACAGGGCATTTACAGATAATAATCTTTGGGTACTGTTGATTGTTATACTGACTGAAACTGCATATACAGTGTAATTTTTGGTTTGTCTCTATGCTGAACTTGTCCAGGCTGAATGACTGTTCCGCTGCTTGGACACTCTCCTGATGGCTTAGACCATGATGCTCTAGAGTGCTGAAGTTTTCAAATGGTTTCCGGGGTGGAGGAGGAGGTGTTTCTGGTTGGATTGTTGTGTAAGTCACTAAAATGCCTTCCCTTAGGTTTCACGGGATCATTTCTCGGGAGCAAGCAGATGAAATACTTGCTGGCGTAGAAGGAGCCTATATTCTCAGAGAAAGCCAGCGGCAACCCGGCTGCTATACTCTTGCTCTCAGGTAAATGCTGCTTTAATAGAGGCTTACAGTTCAAGTGTAAATGTGTTTAATGGAGGGGATTGTGTCATCTCGTTGTAGAAATACATTGAGAAGCTTGGGATGCTGCTGCTCAGAGAAGTAAGAGTCTTCAACTGAATGAAAAATTCAGTTATAACCCTAGCTGCAAACTCACTGCCCCTCACAGGTGCATTTCCTTGAAAATGTGCCCACTCCTCGCTTACCTGTGTCATTCAAAACCTGCCCATGAAGTCTTAAAGATGCTGTGGGCTCGTGGCAAGAGGAAAAGATACCCAGTTGGGTTTTGACGAACTCATTGGCAATACCTTGCAATTTTTATAGCATTATTACTTCTGTGAGACGTGCTCGAACTAAAAGTCTGTGTTTTTACTCTTCTGCTGGTAAACTAGGAGGAAAAATCCTTTAAGGAATTACCCCAAGTAGCTGTGATACAGTGCTGAAATCATGCTTAGAATTTGTATTGATGTGCAGATGGTAAAGCTGGTGAGTCATGCCAACTAAAAAGTGGTGTAAATTAAAACCAACTTCTGTCAGCTGAAAAAGAACAAACACATTTTTTTAGGGTTTTGGAGAGAGATTTCAAAATAATATATTGAAAAAATACTAAAGGATGAGAATTGTGGCAAAATGCCTGTTGTTTTGATACAACAACATGATTTCTAAACCCATCTGGATCATAATTTGTAGAATCAAAAACTGAATTTGATTAAAAATTGGGAATTCATATGAAAAATGCGGGTGAAAAATAAGAGGCTTAAACACTTTAATTTGAATGCCTAGTAAAGTATACAGAGGCATGCAGTTTTGATGCAATATAAGGACCATTTAACCCAATATAATATCTTTGAATCCTTTAATCAATAGTGGAATTCCAACCTCAGTGTTGCAAACTGAATGTGCTGCTACAGCACTTCAATTTTTAAAACACTTAAAAAAATTTCAGTAGATTACACCTGCCATAAATAGGACCAAAGTTTTCCCGCATAACTTTGGATATTCAATTGGACCCTGAATTAGGAGCTTGGTCTAGCTAGCTTCCTAATAGAGCATGACTCAGGCCCTTAGGATTTGAATTACTTGCTTGAGATGCCCATCTCTCTTCATTGACTGTAAATATGCCCATGGTGGTTAAGCTTGGGCTTTCTACACCTCAAAAATGCTTCAGGATGGAAGAGCCTTTAACACAGTTATGCATCCCAACTGCTGTGCTAGTGCCCATAGGGTTTAATCACATACATCTGGGTCATGTAGCTTGTTGTGGAGACTTGGCCTCAGTTCTGTGGTCCAGTCCCTGTAATGCAGTCAAGTTTGGGTTCAAACTTGGGTTGGTCTCTCCACAGAGGTCCAGTTGCAGCTGTGTGCATATTCCATATGTAATCCAGACATATAGGTTTGTCGGTGAAATTACCTCCTGAGTGTTTTGCCAGTCTGAATTCTCTCTCTCTCTCTTCCTTCTCTCCCTCCGTTTTTTTCTGGTGTTTGCAGATTTGGTAATCAGACCCTAAACTACAGGTTGTTCTATGATGGGAAGCACTTCGTTGGGGAGAAAAGGTTCGAATCAATCCACGATCTGGTTACAGATGGCTTGATAACATTGTATATAGAAACAAAGGCTTCTGAGTATATTTCCAAAATGACAACAAACCCCATATATGAGCACATTGGATATGCCACTTTGCTTAGAGAAAAAGTGTCCCGGAGGCTGAGCAGAACAAAAAATGAATCAAGAAAAGCAAGTGTAACAAGTGAAGAAAATACTCCAGTTGAAAAGGTAAGTATTCATTTTCAAATTTTGGTAATTAATACCAGTCTATCAAATCCAAGAGGAATACTTTAATAAGTATTGCTATCCCACTGAAAAGTTTACGTCCTGTTAATGTGACATTGGCTTCAAACTCATATTTGACTGGAGGTTATGGTGAAAACTTTCCAGTAAATACGAAATGCAAATGTTTTCACCATGTAAATATAAGAGTATATACCATTTAACTTAAGAATTGCATCTAAAATTGGCCACAAGTTATATTTATCCATGTAAACTCAAGCATTTTCCACAGTAGGATTGTGAATGTGGTTCCCACTGACCCTTCACCACAGCTCAAGTTTGTTACCTTTCTGTACGTGGTCCAAAGCTCCTCTTCTCTGCCAAGCCTTTGGTGGATGGGTCGCAAATTGAAATATTGTGTGTTTTCTTCCCTTTCTTCTCATGGATCTGAAATTGGGATGTCTGTTTGCTTCCATTTCTTCTTGCTCTTCTCATTTGAAGTGGGCTTTCCTTAATCTCCTTCTCTCATGCACCTGTATCCCATAGCATTCTATGGACTAGGACTTATTTATATGATGATAAATTGAGAATTCTGTGCAATTAGGAACCATCTGAAGATGTAAAATTAGAAATTATTTTACATATGAGAAGCAGCTTTGTAAGCAGTGACATGAGGATGTTTTCATATCCCAGGTGGTAAGGCAGTAAGAAGTGTCAAAGAAAACCTTTTTTTTTTTTAGTCTGGTGCTTGTGCTGAATTGACTTACTGACATTTGTTAAGTGCACTTCTGCAGCATGACTGTTGATTTTAGTGTTCAGTATGCTGGCTAGCTAGTTGGGAACTAGAGCCAGTTTGGGAAGCAGGGAGTGAATTTGCTGTCATACAGTCATGATGAATATGAAAAGAGATCGGCTTTTCTGTATGTATCCTCATCTCTCTTGGACATTTCTGGCAGAATTATCTCTTGGGTTCACATATCTGCATTGGCTGATTATATACGGGTTTGGATTGCTCAGTAATAATAATTGCTTGAATAACTGACTTGATATGTAAACATCCTCTTTAACAAATTAATTCCATTAACAATGACATTTTTTAGGGAAGGTGTGTTGACACAGGGAAGGCCTTTGGACAGTGGTACAACAACAAGTCCTCCATTCAAGTTTTATTTCAAAATTTATCTACTGATGACAATAGATTTTGGTTCAGTTGAATGGTATTTTGGTATCTAAGAGGAGTAGATGCCATTGAGACATCCAATGCTTCTTCAGTTGATTCCTGTGATTGGACACTAATTGATATTTAATTCTATAACAAGCATAAGAAAGGGAATTTTTGCTTTATTTAAGGCACAATAAGAAATAGTGCAGTGTGACAAACTTTTTCTGTGTAGGTGTTTTTGTGTAAGAGAATGGTCCACAGGTGGTTCTGGAACTGGACCATCACTGGGATGATTGTAAACATTATTACATTACTGCAGTGTAATAAAGCAATCATGGCAATTGAAGATCATGCTACATTCTCTAGGAAATCAGGAAAATTTGGGTTGTGCAAGGAAAAATACAGTTTCAAAATTGTTTCATTTTACTTACAGTTCTTGCGGTTGAGGAGCAATGGTCCTTTATAATTCTCAAAGGCCTCAGAAGGGTTTGCTCTAGTACCGTATATTTCACAGATTCTGTTCTCTGTTGTGCTTAGGGTTGGATGTCATTCTTAAGGTTGATACTGTGAAAACTCTTTTAGACCAACAAAAGGCAAACTGTTGCTGAAGGGACCTGTGCCCTCTCTCCTTCATCACCGCCTTTTTGCTGACCTACAGTTTTATGCAGCTACACAATAGGTGACACTAGAAATGGCCCCAGATCAAAACTGGAGAAATTTAGAAGAAAAAACATGATTTTTGAGCCAGATCTGCTACCTGATCCATCTCATATGAATGGAAATGCAGCACAGAGGAGAATGTAAGACTCCTCTCTGATGACTGCTCAAAAAATTATCATCTTGGCTTAAAGTGAGTGGAGTTCTGCATTCTTAGTTCTAGATAGATACTTGTGCTTGAAAATGTTTGGACTTGTAACACACTGTCAATAGTGAAAACACACCTCTGGACCTCATTGGTGACTGTATTAGGTCTTCTTTTGCACTGCAGCTGAATGAAATTTAAATGTTTAGAGTATTATTTACCTCTGAGGTGGTTCATGATGTGAAAGACAGTACCCCAGGTCCTTACCCTACAAGAACTGGTGCTCATAAGATTTCTGTACGTGCAAGCAGTGGCAGCCTGCTAGGCTGGGCTTTATGGCTGTGCTGTCATGTAAAAATATCTGGTTTCAGTTAAGCCACTACACTGTTGGCAACCCTTTCTGCCTTCTTCCCACGGAGGGGAAGAGCAGAAGGAGGAATAGCAGCTGTTTCTAACATATTTTCCTTGCCAGGAGAAGTAGGAGCAATCACAGCTATAAGAGGAGTGGGCTAAACAGGCAAGAGAATCTGCTCACAAGCTGAAGACCTGGAGTAGCAGCTAAAGCCTGTGTTGATGATTAGGACTACCAGTGGCTTTCTCTACTGGCACCAATACTTTTCCACCATTTCATGTAAATCCATGTGAAAAAAGATCACATCAACTAAATTATTAGCAACCGAAAAAAAAAGGTCACAGAAGTCTGTATGGTGAAGCCTACCATGCTGCTTCGGTTCATATGTTCCTGGGGGGAAGCTCATGGTAGGTTTGATAACAAAGACTCAGGGGGTCATCTTCCCATTTATTGATAGTAACATATAGGGACTAAGGAGGATAAAGGGAATGTAATGTTTGTTTTTATATAAACTCTAGAAGTCCTCAAATGTGAGAATATTATGGGGAAGTAATAGTTCAGTGAGAGCTGTGTCAGATGTTTTGCTTGAGGCTGCCATTTGTTGTACAGCATTTTAGGCAAAGGCCGTGGTTTGCCCAAAAATCACAACCTTCACTCACTTCAACCCCTAGAAGTAAGTGAATGAATATTCAGGATGACATTTTTCTGCAAAGCAAATTCTTTGCTGCAAGTGTGAAAAATCATTGATGTTTTTTTCTCTGGCCAGTTTAACAAGTAAAATGTTGTTTTTCAATTACTGAGCCAGTTTATTTGAAAGTGCCGCCTAGAGTATTTTGAATGTTTCAGAAATGATGTGAGAAAGCCATACATGCAGGACAGAAACTTTCATTATTTCTCAGGAATAAGATGAGAATTCAGTGCTCTAAGGTTAAGCATCAGTACTCCTCTTACCAGATTAGGCTCTTTACAAGTGAGATTTTGTTTCATACTGAAACCAATTCCAGAGTGTGAAAGTGCAGCTGAAGGCATTCATCTCCTTGGTGGGTTTGTTAATGCCATCCAGGGATTCTGTTCGTTCTGTCACCTCCCGTGTTGACAGCAGAGATTATTCGATGTCTCAGTCACTCCAGCGCCTCCGCTCCCCGTGGGGTAGGTCACTGGAGGGGGCCACCAAGGCACAGGATGGCAGGAGGAGCCAGCATTCAGATCAAATGTCTTGGTACTGCCTGGGGTACCTGTCTGTTCCCATAATGATAATTTCTTTGAGGTTGTAATTAGTGGAGTCATGCCCGTTCCAGAAGGGAGATGTGATAATTGGGCTGGACGAAGCTGTTGTTGTTCATGTCTTCTTGTCCAATTTTTTTTGCAACAGGCCTAAGAAAACATTTATTCTTTGAAGTATTTAATGCAGGTGTTTCATCCAGAAGTTATTTCTGTCTGACTTTAGGAAGCTGCTTGATTTTTAGACACAGTTTCCAAATTTTGGTCTGAATAGTTTAACAGATGTTTAATCTAAAAGGAGCCATTATGATTTTAGGGAATGAAGTGTTGTGGGAGAACAGCATGCTGCAAATACTTTCTTACTCGTGTAGGCAATTGTAATTTTAATGTTATCCAGCTTCAACAAGGATTTTGGGTAGAGAAATAGATTTTTTTGTACAAAGAACATTTGAAGATCACATGTTGTCTGTTTAGGTTTATGATTTAAACTTGAGCAAGTTGTGATCACCTGCTTTATGTTTGTTTTGCTTATGGAATGCTGTACTTGGGGCAAATAAACACATACTAGAAGATGTCGGGCAGATAAGTACCTGGTACTGGTACATACTGTAATTAATTGCCAGTAGTTCAAGTTAATGGTGAATGTAGAAGTGTAACTTGCTGTAAGCAATTAATCTTCACATTTAGGAGAGAAAAAATTGCAGTAGACTGTCATAAAATCTGTTGTTCTGAAACATTTATCACTATTACATTTTCCTGCAAATACTGCTCTTAACTGCATCAGCGGTCTTTGTGTCCCAGACAAGGGGGAAAAAAAATCTTCTATTCTAGTTTCTAATCCTACATCAGCAAGTGTAATTTGGGAAAATATATTCAAAGAATTGAAATGCTGGAAATAAACGCAAGCTAGAGTTTCATGAATGCTCTGATCAGGTAAAATCTGTTGCAGTTGCTGATGAGAAGTCATCATGGTTCCCTGCTCTTGCACTTTCAATCCCACTCCTGTGACCTGCCCTGGGCATAACTGCAGCATCCCTTGCCTTAGGTGGGACCTAGATGCTGTGACACAGTGCCCTGCCTCAGGCAAAGGCTCTGCCCCACACCTTGTTTCTTTGCTAAGCTGGTCTGATGAGAACGGTAGGCTGGAGTTAAAGAAAACCTTTGGCAGCATTTGAGCTTAATGTGTTTGCAAAAAGAATGATCTTAACCTATCTGACAGAGGACAAACTGTTGGTAAACGCTCTAAAGATTAAGGAAGGCTTTTTCAGTGCCAGATCTCTGCTTACATGGATTCTGGCAAAGCTCCCATCAGCTTCTCTCCTAGTCAGATCTGGCTCGAAGAGACCGGCTCAAACATACTGGCTCAGTTCAAACATACTGGTTGTACATGAAATATGAGTTTGCTTGGAGCCTGGGCTAGAGTGCTTGTTCTGCTCTCTGGATGCAAGTACATGCCAGAAGCAGCACGA